CATGAGCCTTTGGTATCAGACCCTAAACCCGCACTAAGAGTTTTGCCTTAGAGTTCAGCAACTTACATGAACCTGGGGGTGCAAATTCATGCCCCTCCTCCCCGAAATACCTTCCTCCTCCTTTCCCAGCTTGTCAGCAACCCTACCTCCTCCCACCCCTCTGACAAGTCCCCCAGGGTCCTCCTATTAATTTTTGCTCCCTTTGGGGTGAGCTAGGGAAGCTAGGGATGACTTCCTTCCCTTTCTGCAGCTCCTGAATCTGACAGTTCCTCCTTTAGGTCTGGGTAGATACTGAATGGGTAATCCCCCTGCTCTTAGTCCCAAAGCCAATCCCATGGGTGTTCAGGGAAACTCTCTTCCTCATCAGGCAGCAGATGGAAGCCCTGCAGGGGAGGTCAGGGCCCCAGAAGGCTTAGCCCTGTAGTAGGTACCTCTCAGTGGTTCTCTAGGAATAAAGCCCAGTAACTCCCAGAGGATAGTTGCTAGGGAAATCCACAGTGTGCCCCAGTACTATGCCAGGGCTGGCAGGGCTTGAGGGTGGATCCACAAATTTCACTGACGAGGTTGGAGTTAGTGTCTGAGAACTGTGACTGCTGCACGGTACATCTCAGCACAGGGTTCCCTGGCACTGTGGGATTTTTTTTTTTTTTGATGGTGGAGTACTACCTGACTTTGCCAGTGCAAAGTTGCAGCTGGGTGAGCCTGCTCCTTCTGTCCCTGAGACAACCTTTATCCCAGGCAGGGCAGATTCTTAAAAAGAACAGATAAAGGAAATGGCTAGGGGCTTCTTCCTGTTTCTTGTCATCCTGGAAATTCAAGAAAGCAGCCTTTGGTCTCAGGAGGCAGTGAAAGGAGGACAGGGGGTGCAGGGTATTACCGGAGTCCCCTGGTCATTAAGGGAACAAATGAGACATTATGGCCTGCAGTGCCATCAGTCTGTTTCTCTGAAGCCAGAAAATGCAGATTCTACAACCTGGCCAAGATTCATGTTTGGCTGATGGGTGCTTGGCTAACCTGCAATTCAGAGGAGGCACTATAATGGTGAGGAAGTAACCAAGATAAATTGTGGCAGAGATTTCTGCCTTCTGAATGGAAAGATCCTCTTGGATCCAATGGGGGAATCTTCTCAACTCAGCTGTTTCCCAACATCCAGAGGGTGGGGAAGGCCAACAACTTCTTTTCATCTCTACCTGGATAAATCAGTTCTTGGTTACTGTGAGGTTAGGAACACAGGAACATCAAAAGAACATAAGAAATACCATACTGGGACAGACCACTGGGCCATCTAGTCCAATATCCTTGATATCACAATGGCAAAGTCTGGATTTCTAGGAGCTAACACTGGACTGGAGGAGGCCACCTGGGCCAAATCCCATCCCCTGTATTGACAGGAATCTCCAAAATTGCTACTTCAAACACACTATCCAAAACGCACACTATCCAAACACTATACAACGCACACTATCCAAAACACCAAGAACAACCTACAACATGCCACAGGCATGAAGGGGAGAGAGGAAGACATGGCCAGGGCTCTGCCTCTTCAATTCGTTTTTAAATTCTCAAAAGATCCTGGGCAAGGGACTACACTGCAGATAAAGGCAAAAACCCTCAGGGTCCCTGCCATTTTGATTTAAGGGAAAAGTTCTTTCCTGACTCCAAGTTTGGCAATCAGTATGACCCTGACCAGAAGAGCAAAACCCTCTAAGTACCTCTGGGTTTTCTAAGTACCAACAGAAGCATCAACATATCCCAGTCAAAATCCTCCACACTTTCCTATTGCTAATGTACCAACACTCAGAGAAAGGCAGAAAAAAAGCCTCAGAAGCCATTAGCATTCAGGAGGGAGGAAAAGAGCCCTTTCTGGCCCCTACTGGCAATCAGCATAAACCCTGATTTGGAAACCCTTTTGTGGTTTGAGTTTCTTTGTAACTTTAAAACAGCCTGTCACAGCAGTTATAAACAGATATGGTATGTGTGCTAACAACTATCCTTTCTAAAGATCTAAGGCAGCTTCTGCTAGACCTGTCTTAGTGAAGGAACATCAGTTTGAATTCAGTTTCTTTTCCTTTTCAGCACAGTCCAACAAGACCTACAGCATTTAACAAGTCAGGGTATTTTGTAGAGCCCAGCTGTTTACTCAGCATATTCAAGGGCCGGGGAAATGGATTCCTACTCTCTGTATTGGTTTATCAATCGGGCAAGGCTGATGCTTTACTGCTGTTTATCCTAAGTATGGTCGAAGGTAGTTCAACATTTTGTAAGTGTACATGATATAAATGAGATAATGCAGGGGTTGCTGCCCTTGCACTCAGGGGACACTGGAGGGAGCTACAGTACTCCAACATGCTGAGCCTCAATCATTCCAGAGTTGTCCTTCTGCACTTTATCATCTGGATGACTGTTCATGGCTCTCCCTCAAAATCTCCTCGTTTCTAAATGCCCTGGTTCTACAACATTTTATTTGTGAGGATTTGGTGGGGGGGAAGAATCTGTGATTGTTCTCCCTGCTTCTTCCCCATGAAACTCTCAGAGATTTCAGGAGAATTAGTTGCTTCCAGGAGAGGCACAGGTTCACTTCACTTCCTGTCACTTGGTTCTCTGTCTCTCACTCTTCTTTATTCTACTCAGCTACAGTCATCCTTCCCCAGCAAAGGAGATGTTGGTAGCAAGATCTGTATTTAATATTCATGGGTACAGGAGCTGTATTGATATAGAAGACTCAAAAGGAAGTAATCTTTCCCTGAAGTTCTGATCCCAGTGATACAATATGGTGTCAGCGGGAATAATGGAGGAGACTCAATGGGTGCTGACAGAAGTGACACTTGCTGAGTGATCAGCCCCCTGAAAGTGCTCTACAGTCTTCCCCTGACAGAAGTGCACAGCTGCAGAATGCTTTAGAGTGCCTGATTACAGGACAAATTAATCCTCATCTAATGAAGGTTCAGATGAAGATGCTCCAAAGCAAAGTGCCT